TGGGCTTGTTGGCTCAGCCTGTAATCCCAGCACATTGGGAGGCGGAGGCAAGTGAATTGCCTGAGCCCACAGTTTGAGACCAGGCCGGGCAAATTGGCGAGACCTCTTCTCTACAGTAAATCAAAAATTAGCCAGGTGTGGTAGCACGCACCTGTGGTTCTGGCAACTTGGAAGGCTGATGCGGAAGGATCGCTAGAGCCTAGCAGGTCAATGCTGGGGTGGCTGTGAGTGTGCCATGGCACTCCAGCCTGGGCGACAGAGTGAGACTCCAACTCAAAAAAAAAGAAAAAAGAAAAAACCTTGCTTCTCCATGAGTATCCTTATTAGAGCGTAAAATATAACCATATTCCACAGGGATGCTTTTAAAAAATGTTCTCGTAGACATGAGCACAGCCTCGGGAGGTCAGCTTCTGCACCCAGCTCATCCACAGCATTGATATTATAGAGCTCCACTGTGCTCCCGTCTGTGCTGGCTCTGTGGAAGGACGATGTTCCTGACCTGGAGATATTTAAGTAACAATATGAGACAGAGTGCTGAGATAAAACAGGGTCGCAGAAAATGCCAAGGGAGAGTTCATTGTGGACTGGATTAAAAGGCTGGAAAGCCCCACGGATTTAGTAGGATTTAACTGGACCTTAGCTAATGCATATCTTTTATGCGGCTCTTAATGGTTTTACTATGGGCTTTCATGCATGTTCTCTTAGTTGCTTCTTTCTTAAAAGCATCCTGAAATAGGTAGAACAGATGTTAACTCCATTAAAAAAATTTTTTTGGGGGGGTGGGTCGGAGTATTACCCTGTCTCCCAGGCTAGAGTGCAGTGGCATGATTACAGTTCACCGTAGCCTCAACCTTCTGGGTTCAGGCAATCCTTCCACCTCAGCCTCCTGAATAGTTGGGACTACAGGCGCACACCACCACACTTAGCTAATTTTTTTGGGTTTTTGTAGAGTGATGTCTCACTATATTGCCCAGGCTAGTCTCAAACTCCTGGGCTCAAGCAATCCTCTTACCTCAGTCTCCCAAAGTGCTGGGATTACAGGTGTGAGCCACCACCCTGACCTTATCTCCATTTTACATGCAAGAAAACTGAGGTGAATAGAGACTAAGTAACATGTCCAAAGGTATGTTGCTAATAAATAAGTAGGCGAGGCAGCACTGTTAACTGAGAACTTCGGAGCTCAAATTCAGTCCTCTTTCCAGTCTACCGTGTGCCTCCAGCCTTGAATGAGGGGCAGAGTTTAGACAGGTGGGATTCAAAGGAGGCACTCTAAGGGAGGAGCGTAGTATTGTCAAAGGCCTGGAAATGGCGAGGCAGCACTGTCCGAGGGACAGGGTTGAGACTCGGACTTTGCTACTTGGGACTGTGGGCACTCATCTCAGTTCTCTGTGCCTTCATATCTTCCATTTACAAAGAAGCTAATAATAGTGTCAGTCTCTACAACTTCATCAGAATATTATTGTGAGAACCTGAGAAGAAATGTATTGCAGCCAGGCGTGGTGGCTCACGCCTGTAGTCCCAGCACTTTGGGAGGTGGAGGCGAGAGGATTGTCTGTGAGTCCAGGGGTTCAAGACGAACCTGGGCAACTTGGCAAAACCTCTTCTATACAATAAGTCAAAAAAATTAGCCGGGCGTGGTGGCATGCACCTGTGGAGCAGGAAGGATTGCCTGAGCCCAGCAAGTCAAGGCTGCGGTGGCTGTGACAGTGCCACTGAGCTCTAGCCTGAGCAACAGAGTGAGACACTGACTCAAAAAAAAAGAGAAATGTATTATAACTGGAGGTTATATTAAATGCAAGGTGTTGTGATTGCTAAAAAAGACAAGACATTGTCAGTAGATGAACCCATGTTGCATCTGACATGTAGACCCTTTCTACTACTTTGCAAGTTATGGCTTTGAAATAGAGCAGAACGATAAGTGTTCATTGCGTTCATCTTACCCCGTTTACTTCAGTGGGTAGATACAAACAGTAAATGATACTAGGACCTTTCTGGCTCGGCATTGGGTAACAACATGGGGAAGTGTTCTGCCTTCTCAAATACAAAGTCACTATTTCTTGTCCTTCTCTGCCATTGACTTGTCTTCTGCTTCCTCTTTGCTTGCTTTTATGGGTCTCTGAAGGTCAGCCCAAGGCCCACAGTGGAAAGGAGCAGAGGTTCAAGGTTGGTAGTATGCAAAACTAAAAGTTTTTGGTTTTTTTTTAATTGAAGTCTCACTCTGTCGCCCAGGCTGGAGTTAATGGCACGCTCACAGCCACCCCAGCATCAACCTGCTGGGTTCAGGTGATCCTTCCACCTCAGTCTTCCAAATAGCTGGACTCATAGACATATGCCACCATGCCTGGCTAATTTTTTGATTTATTGTAGAGGCAAGGTCTTGTCAAGTTGCCCAGGCTGGTCTCAAACCCGTGGGCTCAGGCAATCCTCCTGCCTCAGCCTCCCAAAGTGCTGGGATTATAGGCATGAGCCACTGTGCCCAGTTAACTAAAAGTTTTAAAAGACCAGAAGAATTGAACTTGCCCAGAAGGATGGACACAATCTCCTGAAAACATACTTTTTCTGTTTCTTTCTTTTCTCCTCCTCACCTCCCACAAAGGATTAAGATCCTGAACCTGGAAGAATGCAGCATAGTCCTAATTTTCTGTTTCAAAGGTATATGGTGAATATGTTCACAAGGGGAGGGATTCAGATGTGACACTGTTTGCTCACCAATCAAATTCATAATCCTGGTGTTTTAATAGTAGAACTCTGTAGAATAATTTGAATTTGGGGTAGATAGAGTACACATTATTGTTATTTATTAAAATAGACCAGCATTCTCAAGTTTCATAATTTTTAATAGAATATTCACTTTATATATCAGTGCTGCTTTTTATTTGAAAGCGAGATTCTACTGTGTTTAATGTCTTTATTATAGGCATTTAAAGCGTGTAACTCACCTGGAGAATCTATACTAAAGAGTCTTATTAGGAATATATATATATATTCAGTCACCCAGGCTAGAGTGCAGTGACACACTCATGGCTTGCCTCAGCTTTGACCTCCTGGACACAGGCAATTGTCCACCTCAGCCTCCTGAACTGCTGGTACTATAGGTGTGCATCACCATGCCTGGCTAATTTTTTTTATTTTTTTGTAAACCTGGGGGTTTCATCTCTACAAAAAAAAGTGTGCCTGTGGTTCCAGCTACTTGGAAGGCTGAGGTGAAAGGCTCGCCTGAGCCTAGCAGGTTGAGGCTGCAGTGGCTGGAGTGTGCCACTGCCCTTCAGCCTGGGTGACAGAGTGAGACTCCAACTCAAAAAAAAACCCAAAAAGTAAATAAATAAAAAACAAAACAATAAGCCTGAGATAGTGGCACACACCTGTAGTCCCAGCTACTCAGGAGACTGAGGTAGAAAGATCACCTGAGCCCAGAAGGTCGAGGTTGCGGTGAACTGTGATCATGCCACTGCACTTCCCTGGTCGACAGAGTGAGACCCCTGACTTAATAAACAAAGTATAAGCTTTTAAAATTGTTTTTATTTATTTATTTTTGAGTTGGAGTCTCACTCTATCGCCCAGGTTGGAGTGCAGTGGCATGCTCATGGCCACCTCTGTCTTGACCTGCTGGGCTCAGGCAATACTTCCACCTCAGTCTTCCATGTAGCTGGAACTATAGGCACACACCACCACGCCTAGCTAATTTTTTTGTTTTGTTGTAGAAACAAGGTCTTGCCATGTTGCCCAGTCTGGTCTCGAACCTGCGGGCTTAGGCAATCCCCTCACCTCAGCCTCCCAAGCTGCTGGGATTACAGGATGAGCCACCAAGCCCAGCCAACAAATGAAATTTAAAATTGTCTTGAATCTTTGAATTCAGGGCTACATAAATACATCAAAATGAAATAAAATTGCCTGAAGCTTCTGTCCAGGTTCACATTAGCATTGCCTTGGAAGATGAAGCTGCCGTAAGAGGAAACACATTTGATGGTTCTGTCTTCTCCCTGCCCCAGTCTTGGTTTTATCCAAAGGAGGTACCCAGGGTGGAAAGGTGTCCCATTAAATTAGAGAATGAACCCAAAGGATCCATTTAAAGGTGTTCAAAAGACATCTTTGAACAGTTGGTTGGGAGACTGAAGGTGGGAAAATCTGGTTGTTTGTTGATCTTTGTTAGCTGTATTTATAGCTATGAGGATGATATGTCTGAAAACAGGCTAATTTGCAAAGTAATCCATGGTAAAATAACCGCTGAAGGAATTTTCAGCAGTGGTTTTTTAATGAGCATAGTATCCACTAAAGTTTGTGCCCAAGAAAGGACTGTCTTTAGAGCTATGATGGTGGACGTCAGGGTGGGGCATCCAGGATTCTGTAGTAGCCATCACAGCATCCCCGGGGACACTCCCCCAAGTGTTCAGTGTGTGCAGGAAGGTGGTAAGATGGTG